GCCGCCGCGGCCAGGTGCGTACCGCGGGGCGGCCGGGCCGTGGGCCGTGGCGCCTCTGCCGCTCCCGAGGGATCCCGAGGCCGGGACGGGCCGCGCCCGCCGCCCCGCGTGCGGAGCCCGCTGTGGGAGTGGGGGGGGGGCTCCGCGTTCCCGTTGGGAGGCGGGGGCGGCCGCGGCGGGAAGCGCCGCTGCGGGATTCAAGGAGCACTCGCTTTAATTAAGGGCCTTGAGCCCTTGCGCTAAGGAAGGGCTGCGTGCTTGGCGCCGAGGAGGAGCCGCTGCTCTCGGGATTAGCCGGTAACGGCTGCGCAACGGCTCCCGCGCAAGCACAACGCAGAGCTCAAGGGGCGCCCCTCGTTTGGAGGGAGCGGCTTTGGCTTTCGCTTGTGGCGTAGGGATAAGTGGCGCCCGGGAATGCTGTGGCACGGAGCGCTGGCTTAGGAGACGCGCCGCCAGGCAGCGTGTTGGAGATCACCGGTTGTGTGAGAGGGTTAAATTGCTCCCGGCTTCCCTGAGTGAAGCAGAACAGCCGGTGCGTAACTTGTCAGGTGTCTGTGCACGGCTCGGTAATGGTTATTCCATGACCAAAAACACACCGTGTACCGGATTGACCGGCCCAGCCGCTGTTCCCCGCRGGTGTTGCAACCCCTTGATTCACGGTGTTGTCCCGGCCCTGCCAAACCGCTAGGCTCCTGTTCGCCCTGGTCTCTAGGCAGGGGTGCCAGTGCCCGGAGCGGCCGCTGGAGAGCGGCCAAGGCCGTGCGTGTCCTTGGATGCGGAGTGACGGGAGCCCACGTCAGGACAACGTCCTGGCGCCCGCTGTGCTCCCTCCCCTGCCCAGTGACCTCAAGCCGGGTCAGAGCCGGGGCTGCGCTTGAGAGGCAGCCTTAAGCCGCGCTCGCCCACAGGGCGAGCGCGGCTTAAGGCTGCCTCTCAAGCGCAGCCCCGGCTCTGCAGCTAAAATGCACCCGGAGCAGAGGCTGCCACCTGAAACAGGCTCCGTGAGGCTAAAACACATTCCTGGAACCAGCAGGGGAGCTGGTGTGTCCAGTCCTTCCTGCTGAAGCCAGGATGTGGGGAGAGATGGGAGCTTCCCGCAGCGTTTGTGCCTCAGTGCAAAGTCAGGCGCAGGATGCGCGCGCTAATGAGGAAGGAGGTTTCTGGAGCTTGTGCCAAGCACGGAGCCTGTGTATTATTAGGGAGTAGGGCTTGGGACACCCTCTTCTTTCCAGGCTTGGCTCAACAGCACCTCCTTGGCACGGCAGCTCTCTGAATCCTGCTGCAAGGTCCCCAGCTCCCCTGCGCTTTGCAGCCAGCCCAAGCCAAAACGGGCTTGAATCCGAAGCGGTAACATCCGCTGCTTTTTCACGCAGGTCATCTGGGGCCACAGCCCCGCTGTTGGCCACAGCAAAGCTATGTATGCAGCATGATGGCATGAAGGGTAGTATTGCACACGTGGGGCTGCAGAGTGCCGAGCTGCTCCAAGCAGCCGTCGCAAGGAGACTATGTGAGAGATGCTCCTCAGGCCAGGAAAACTGATGCAAGAGGGAGCCGGGCTGTGAGCACGGCAGGGACATCCACCCTGCAGCGAAAGCCCAACGAGGTGGGTGCAGGATGAAAACAGGAGACCGAGGGAAGAGCTCGGAAAGGTGAGGACTGGCCCAGATGGCTCCCTGTGTGCTGCAGTGCTCCTCTCAGAAACAGAGTTCTTGGGATGGTCAGTGACTGCATGGAGACCAATTCCAGAAGCTTCCTTCCCACGCTGTTGCTGGAAGAGACAAGAAACCTTGGACCGAACGCTCTGCTGCTTGGAAAGTTAATGAATAGTGCCATTTCTTCCCTGCTCTTGTGGAGCAGAGAGGAAGGCTTTTGGCCTTCCTGCACTCTGGGTAACTGGCGTTAATCGCCTGGATAATTGGTGTTGAGGGCAAAGCAGTGTTTGCTGTTGCAACATCTCCCCAAGAGCTGCTCGTGGGATCAGCTGCAAGCTTGGGAGGAGGCTCTTACCCCCGCAAGCCACGGGCCAGTTGTCCTTAGACCTTCACAGCTCTAGCGCGCTCCGGGTGTCCCCGCTGGAGCGAGCGGAGGGCTTGGACTAGGTGATGCCCAGAGGTGCCTCCCAGCCCGCGCCATCCTGTGGCTGTGAGCTCCGGCCGGCGCCGTGCGCGGTGCTCGCGGCAGGGCTGCTGCTGCGGAAGCAGCCGGCTGGCACGCGGCCTCGGAGCTGGTCGGGGCTGCCGTCCTGCCGCTGGCTCTGTGCCGGCCCCAGCCCTGGCGATGGCACCGGGGGAGCGGGAACAGCTCATGGGCCATCTGAGCAAGTCTTCTCGCTGGAGACCCTACCCGGGCAGCCCTGGGAACACGAGCGGCTCTTCCCGATCTCTCCACGGCTCTGCCAGCTCCAGGGCCCTGGCGCTGGGACAGGCCTGGCTGTGCAGTGGGGCAGCACTGCAGCCCTGCTCCACGCCGAGCCCTCCTGCAACGCGCCCGGCTCCACAGAGCTCCAAGGGCGCCCACGGGAGCCTGGGGACAGCAGAGCACCCCTCGCTCCTTCCCAGAAGAGGCAGTGTTTAGTAGGGGGTGCCCCACGCACCAGCTCAGCACCGAGCCCCCGTGGGCAGTATGACTGCCCCCGGGACGGGCAGTGCTGGGCCCCCGTGTGGGCCGAGGCCCTGGTGCCCCTTTCTGACTGCCCTGGCCAGGCACAGCGGTGGGGCAGGGGCTGAAACCCCCCATGGCTGTGGGGAAAGCAGCACCTCCTGGGAGGGTATGGGGGCCTGTGACCCCTGGCCTGCCTTTTGGGGTGAGGAACGTCATGTGTTAACGAGCGGGACCTGTGTTATAACAAGCAAGTGCAGACCCAGGTGGGGGAGAGAGGGAAAGGTACTTTCTTTCCCTATGTGAATTCCCAATTTAAGACTTAGAAAGGTTTAAAGACACTTTCATCAGCTCGCACGGCTGACGGCATCCTTCCCTCCCGCAGGCCCTGCCATGGGGAGCGGCAGCAGCCGCCTGTACAGCGCGCTGGCCAAGGCGCTGAGCAGCGGCGCGGTGCCGCAGCCCCGCGAGTGCGCGGCGCCGCTCGAGCCCATCGACCCCAAGGAGCTGCTGGAGGAGTGCCAGGCCGTGCTGCGGGAGCGCCCGCCCCGCTGCCAGCGCCACTTCGTGCCCCTGAGCGCCGGCGCCGCCGACAGCCACCGGCCCATCCGCGTCATGCAGTGGAACATCCTCGCCCAAGGTGGGAGCTCCGCACGGGCGCTCTCCTCCCCGCGCCGAGGACGGGAACGGGCTGCCCACCGCTGGGAAGCTCTGCTCCCTGTTGTGGCTGAGCCCGGCCTGGCCGCAGAGCGCGCGCCCTGCGCTCGTGCTTGTTAGCCCCCAGGAATCAGGCTTGCCTCTCTGGAAGTCTTCATAAAGCTCCTCTGCTCACGTTTTCTCGTAGCTTAGTGCTGAGCTGTTCACCCATGCACACGTGCCGTGGGAGTTCCTAATCCTTTACACTTCAGCATAGGCGGTGCAGGCTCTGAGTCCGGAAGTCAGGACTTGAACGCTGACTTATGCAACAGCCTTGCTGTAATCATCTTTGAGGGAGGTCCCCCATTTAAGGACTGTCATAGCATTCGGTGACCACGTCACTCCTATAATACTGTGTTTCTTCTTGGCGGAGCTGTGGCAGTCACATGGGGAAGGACTTGTCGGAGTGCAGTGACTTTTGCAGCAAGGAGATTAGACATGTATTTGTAAGAGGAAGTTAACTTTCTTTTGGAGGAACTTCACTGTTCAGAGAATGGGTTGTCTTGGCAAAGCCAAGCTGCCATTGGTTATTCCTGCAAATCCCACGCCCTGCACGAAACCTGGGGTTCACACGTTTCACAGAGAGCGCAAAGTGTGTTGCAGAGGCTTGTGTTTCTTTCCCCGATAGCTTCCTGCCCCATGGAAAGAGGGGGGGTCGCAGGGGTCTGTCCTCGCGTGTCTGTGGGAATAACGCTTGGTGATGGAGCGGGGCCACGCTGGCAGTCGCAGCGTTTGGAGCGGGAGTTTCAGGATGGCACTAGCGGTGGAGCAAGAGCCTGTTCTAGCTACTGACCCCTTCTTTCTTTTCTCCCACATCCAATTTCAGCCCTTGGAGAGGGCAAAGACAACTTTGTGCAGTGCCCCATGGAAGCTCTGAAATGGGAAGAAAGGAAGTGCCTCATCCTGGAGGAGATCCTCGCGTACAAGCCCGACATCTTGTGCCTGCAGGAGGTCGACCACTACTTCGACACCTTCGAGCCGCTGCTCAGCCGCCTGGGCTACCAGTGCACTTTCTTCCCGAAGCCGTGGTCGCCGTGCCTGGACGTGGAGCAGAACAACGGGCCCGATGGCTGCGCCTTGTTTTTCCTCAAGGACCGCTTCGAGCTCGTCAACAGCGCTAACATTCGGCTCACGGCAATGAAGCTGAAAACCAACCAGGTGGCCATCGCGCAGACGCTGAAGTGCTGCGAAACGGGACGGCTCTTCTGCATTGCTGTCACCCACCTCAAAGCTCGCACGGGCTGGGAGCGGTTTCGCTCCGCGCAAGGCTGCGACCTTCTCCAGAACCTGAAGAACATTACGCAAGGAGCAAAGATCCCCCTGATCGTCTGCGGAGACTTCAACGCAGAGCCCACCGAGGAAGTGTACAGGGAGTTTTCCAACTCCAGCCTCAACCTGAGCAGCGCGTACAAGCTGCTGAGCCCCGACGGGCAGTCGGAGCCGCCCTACACCACCTGGAAGATCCGTCCCTCGGGAGAGTGCCGGCACACGCTGGATTACATCTGGTACTCGCAGCACGCCCTCAACGTGAACTCGGCCCTGGGCTTGCTCACCGAGGAGCAGATCGGGCCCAACAGGCTGCCCTCCTTCCATTACCCGTCAGATCACCTGTCCTTGGTGTGTGACTTTAGCTTTAATCAGGACCCTGACAGACTGTTGTAATTCCCTGGGATGCGGTGTCTTAATTCACCACTTTTATTTTCAAGAAACCTTTTGAAGCTGGAAACTATGTAAGGATGAGGAAGTACTCTTGACTGAAGGCTTTTTCCAGGCCCTTGTTTGGAATTACACTTGCCGTTTGGAGCTCGTTAATCTGAGGCCTCCACAGGGGGGAGAGAGAAATCCGTGCTCTAGTTTTGTGTGTTTGTGCCCTAGCAGAGAGTTGGAAGGAAAATAAGTTTCTCCTTTCAGTGTCCTCTCTGTCTAAGGCTTGAATCCTCTAATGAAGGTGGAGGCTCTCAGTGTTTAAATTAAAAATCACTCGTGTATGTAAAACAACTCGCCCTGACAGCATGCTATTTTTATTTATTTCCTGTTAAGCTTGTGCAAGTACCAAAGGGAATGAGGCTTGACAACTCGGTAAAGATTTTTTTTTATCCTTTTCAGTATGAAGAAAGATTAATTAGTATTTCAGATATGAAATACAACCTTATCTTCTCATTTTTTAAGTGACTCCAGATAAAAGTGTTGGTAAAAAGGAGTGTAAATAGGTTCCCAAAGCACCGTTGGAGGAGGAAGCCTCTCCCCATGGTAAGAGCAGGCGAGGAAGCAGGGCTCACTGCTGTACCTCATACAGTACTAGCCCCACATTTGCAGAAGAAAGTGCATGTGTCCCGTGTACACACAGCCCGTAGCATACACAGTAACTGGTATCTTGTTTCTCCTGCACTTGCCCTCAGTGGACCTGCCTAACCAGGGAGTTTCTCCTCTGCTTCCACTCCTACGTCTCTGAATGGTTTGGAGTTGTAGTCTCGTCAGTCTTCCTGTTTTGGTAAAGGGCCAATATCCTCATGTTGTCAAATGTAAAACTTGCTTTTATTTATCTTCAGAATCGAATGCGACACTGGAACCTGTTAGGAAATCTCATTAATTTATAGAGAGCAGTTGGTGAGCTTGTATCTCACTTGAAATCACTGCAGCTGCGTTTGGGGCACAGGGGGGTCCTCTGAGAGCACCGAGGCTCCCCCAGAGATGTTCAGTGCACACAGGGGTGCTCTTGACCATGGCATCGGCCTCGGATATCTGGATTTAACTGTGCCAGTACCCAGGAAAGGGCAGGGAGGGAGAGGGGGGAAGAGACCGCGGCAAGGCTACACTGGTCCTTTCCAGCCCCAGTGATTTTGTGGCCAGCTGGGAGCAGGGATGATGCTGGATGAGGCAGAGCCAAGAAAGCAGCGCTTCCACATGCAGTGAGTAAATGTTCCCTGGTGTTTATTAATAAAATATTTTTAAAAGGAAATAACGTCTTTGTTGCTCTCTGTTTTATTGCCATTTCCTAAATCAGTTCCTAGTTGAAACAGATTAACTGATTTAGCCTTAATTTGGGATGCCACCAGCAAACTGCCCCTTCTGGACCTTCTCCCTGGCCCCTCCGGTGCTTGTCTTTTAAGAGGGTGCTTTTCTCTCATGGCCAATTTGTTTGTTCTCTTTTCCTTTACTTTCTATGTCCAGACTTCCCTATACCTGCAGCAAAAGGGGTTAGCGTCAGACAAGTGAAGTTGCTTCCTCCAGCAGCTGAAGGCGAAGCCTAGACTTTAAATTACAGTGCAAGTATTTTAGTAAGTCGCCTACCCCAAAGCCACACCAGCAGCTGGAGCTCACATTTCCCCCCCGGGCAGTTTCCAGAAGAAACGGCAGTTGTGGAGGAAGCCCATGATTTGAGAACAAGGATAATTCCACATGCTTGTGCTCAGTCTTAAAAAAAAAAAAAGCCTTCCTATCCCTTTCCCTTGTGTAAAGGCAGCTCCTAATAGCAGGCTTCTCTGGGAACGGCACCGTCTGGCTGGAGCACGGGAGTGGAAATCCGGCTGTATTTAAAAACAGGCAAGTCTCATCCTGATGTAACTGACAGCTTCCCTGGCAGTTCCTGCCTTTCCTTTCTACTCTAGCTATAAAAGGTAGGTTGGAGATTTACTCTTTAGGAAAGCTTAAGTGAAATGTTGTCCTTTCCTTGTTTTCACTCTGCAAGAGGCAGGCCTGCAGCAGTGAAATGCTTTTGCTTGCTATCATTACTAGTAAATAATCATTATTCTTAAGAAACAGCAGAAAGCTTTTTCTCTCTATGTGGCAGTATGACTCTTTCAATAAAAACGTCTTCCAAGCTCTTCTTGTGGCTGCATGCCCTAAAAGCAAACTAAGGTTAAAAAGATCTCAACAGATCCTTCGCTCTAATCTTGATTAAAAGCTGTATTAGCTTTAGCAGTGACACTTTTCCCTCACTCTTAAGCCAGCTGAAGGAAGAAGTGACCCATTTATTTCATTTGCTGAAAGGTGGGTGCTGCTACAAGCTCATTAAAATAGTCTCTCCCTTGGAGAACCATTGGGTCAGAAGTAGATACTGTCGCTCAGATCTTTCCCACTTAGTAATATTAATACCTCCTATTTGGACTGTCTGAAGGGGGCAGAAATTGAATTTAGCTTGTTCGGCTGCGACACTTCCAGCCTAACGGAGATGTCCTGCTGCACGTCCTGCTGAGTAAGGACCAAGGCTCCGGGCAGCTCTCCCTTTCCTGCTGCCTGACTATCTGCCCGCCCTGGCTCCCTGCTGCCCACGCAGCTCCAATGCTGTTCTCCAAAGCCCAAAGGTTGATGAGATCCATCAGCAGAAGACACCAAGACCTAAGCCGTAGCCAGCAGGGTACTCCATCCAAATCTGTTCTTGAGCTACGTCAAGGCACAGAGCCTCTCACCATAATGCCACGTGTGACATGCTGGCAACACTTCTTTTTTCTCTCAAAACAAATACAAATATTTGCATCAGACTTACACACTAAGGCAGGTATTACCAATCTGAGGAAGAAGAGCAAAACTAACTGAGAGGGATTCCCTCTCAACTTTTAGAACTTTTAGTGTTCTGTCCATAATCAAAACCAAAATTAAGATTTTAACTTGCCATCCGTAGTTAGTGTCTCACCTGTGGATTACACAGCAGCATCATTTCTCGCCTAAAGATGACAGGGATGATTTGAAGGAAAAGGTATCAATATTTATTTTTTATTTGCATAAAATCAGTGGTACTGTATGATCTATATCTTAAAGCCCCCTGTAGAAAGCACGTGTGCTCTACCCCACTCACAAATCTGGGAAAGGTACCACTTGCCACGGATGAGTTAAGCCTGGGCTCTTCTACCCCACCCACAGCTGTTAGTCCTGCTTTTACACATGGACAAATGAACAGACCTTTCGAAGGCATTGCAAAAATCTGTTTCTATTACTTCATATATTTTGGATTTTACAAAGCAAACATACAAATATTTTACAGTAAAAACATTCCCGGCCCAGCAGCAATTATGAACATCAGCACACGACAGTGTGTTGAAGAAAAGCTTGCAAGGACCTATGAAGTCACCTAAGAATTGTAGACAGAGGCAGGAAATTTTCTCTTCTGAAAAGATCTTCCAAACCCGCCTGGATGCCGCCCTGTGCCCCGTGCCCTGGGTGTCCCTGCTGGAGCAGGGGGTTGCACTGGATGATCTCTAGAGGTGCCTTCCAACCTCAACCACTCTGTCATTCTGTGAATGTTGCCCGGGGAAAGGCTCCGTGCGAGAGGGCTCCTGCAGAGCCAGGACCGTTACCCACCTTGCACGTCGCTGCTGCAGGGCAGCTCGCGTCAGAGCAGCTCACAGGAACGCCCCGCACGCGGGCGCTGAAGAGCCCTGCTTAAGCAGAAACCAAAATCACGACCTGACCCCAAGCCCGCCTGCATTTACAGCTAGCAGTTAAGAACGGGAAGCGCAGGGCATGCCCAGAAACCCACCCAGCAGAAAGGGATTTAGTCCTCGGAAGCCTGGAAGGCGCCGCTCCTGCACCAGCCCGTGCTCCCGCATCGACTGCGACTCTCAGGGCTCCCGACGAGCGTCCTCCGGCAGCGCGTGCACGTGGTGCTCATCCGGCCCGGAGAGCGGCGGGATGCGGCTCGCGCAGCAGCAGCAGCCAGGAGCCCCGGGAGCAGGGCCAGGGGCTGTGCAAGGAGCCCCCGGAGCCGCGCGCCTCCGTGCCCGCGGCGTGTGCCACGACGTGACATCCCAGCTCCAGCGAGGGACAGCGAGGGCTGTAGGTCCATATCCAAACCCAGGGAGACAACCCTGCCCACTTCCAGTGCGTCTAAATCGGGTGTGGGAAAGGTCTCAGCTACAAATAGTCCAGAGAGATCCATTTCACGCTCTAACATCAGCCTCTTTCGCATATGATCAAGTAACAGCCATCTGGGAAAGGATCTCTTGCAGAGAACATTTATACACACGGGTTTAAAAACACTTCTGCGGGTTTGTCTTCCAGCTCCATCGTGCTCTCCCTCCGCAGCAAGAACTGCTCTTTTCAGACACATCCCTCTCCTTTTCCCCGAACAGCTGCCTCACAAGCTATTGACACACTCCACCTGTTGCCCACGTCCTGCTTCTCACCTTCTCCCCCTTCTCTTCCCATTTCTTTTTTTTTGGAAACAAATCCTCTTCCTTCTCCAATGTTTCTTCCTGTGAAGGAGCACTTGCCTCGTTTTCCCAGGTCCAGAATCACAGTTCACCTGTAAGAACTTTTGCTGCTTTACATTAACTGCTGACATAGAGGACTGTAAAACAACGGGTGTTTGTTTTTATTCCTGCTGCAGCTTGTGCATTCGTTTCTTCTTAAACTCTTTCTCCCTGCCTCCCTGCTTGACAAGTAGAAAAGGAATCTACTTGCCAAAATCTAAAAATTTATTTTTCCAAAATAAATGTAAAGTTCCCCACCTGCTGACTTGACTGAAGGGAGCTCTTCCCACCTTTCTTAGGCTTTGAAGGGAAGAATGAGGCTTACGGCTAAGACTCTGCTCTGCAGGTAACTTACTTTTCAATACGATAGCTAAAAGGGGAAAAAAAAAAGAAAAGCCTCAGTACAAGTGCTTAATTTTCATCTCCTTTATCATTACTTAAGGTCTCAGCTCCCGATTTCTGTCGAAGCTGTCCCACCAGGTACCAGGCACTTCACTGGTGTAGGCTTGAATTACCTGAAGATGAAGAACATCTTGCAAAGACCAGCGGGTGCCCCCAGGCCCTCACCAGCAGATGTGCTGCTTTTGCAGTGACTGCTGCAGCACGGCCGGGCGCCCCATGGGCACAGGGGAGCTGCCCCACACCCGCTCAAAGGGGGCAAGCTCTTGCACACGGGCTCCAGCTATGGAGAAACGAACATGCAGGGTGTCCTCCTCTCGCCTTCATCCTCAGGTAACTTAAGGGCAATTATAACCAGGAAAGCTGTTTAGAAACCCACTCCACTCACAAGTCAGTATCCACCTCAAATCATGCATCCATGCTGAACCAAAGCTTTAGCAGTTGGAAATGCTGAAGGACCAGAAGTGCAAGTCAGTGTTTTTCTTTTTCAGAGCCTCACCTGCCAGTGCTTTCCACCTGCCTCTATCACACAGCCAGAGAGAACAGGGCCCTAGGGCAGTCGAGCCTGCTCATTTCCACCTTGTCTTCGCACTGCGGCGCTAAAAAGCGAAGATGCAGCTGGAGGACAACCAGCCAGTTCACACTGCTCGAGTTCTTGCTGATTCTCAGCAGGATGGAAGCAAACCTGGTTTTAGCCTCAGAGCAGCGTTGGGAGCACATGCAAAGCTGTCACCTTGCAGCTGGGGGGCAGCAACTTCAAGCTGCTCAGGTCTCCTCAAAGGTTTCACGCGAACAGCCTCAGGACACTGTGAACACCATCCCAAAAATAGGCTTGGAAAACCAGACCCTTGTCAGAAGTTACCTCACCAACTACTGCAAGCTGCTCAAATGCTTGAGTAAACTGTGTGGAAGAGCTGGAGCCAGGCACTCGGAGCAGTGAGGAGTTCCAAATTTCCATAGTGTATCAGCTATCCTAGGCTGAACGCCTGGAAGACTTCAAGAGAAGCAGAAGAGTAAGTTAACAGATTGAAATGAGGGGAAAATAAAGCAGACCAAACAATTAAATTTCATTTCTATATTTCAGTAAAACCTACTTGAATACACTTTGAAACAAGAGTACAACAAAATAGAATATACTTCAAATGTTGAATATACAAACTATTATAGTTCATTCTGAACACTGGTACTTCCCTCTTAACTTCAACTAAAAAAAAAATTTACAGGTTTAAAACTACCTGACAAAAGTTCATGCTGGGTGTGACCTTTCAAGTGACAAGAGTAGAGCTGAAACTGAAATGTATGCACAGATGTCAAGGCTAAGTGAGAGACACAGGCATGTTATAGCAAAGGCCCAAAGCCTGCTGCTATTTTGTCCACAATTAAGAAATTTAGACAGACTTTAACTACCATACAAAATATGTTACATGTAATTCTATAACAATACTGTGCTAGGTACAAGATTTTTAAAAAAATTTGTTTTAATAAAAAAGCTTTACACAAACAAGCCATTAGCTTATTTCAAGAAAGATAACTGAAAATCAGTCTAAGGCTTTCATTTTAAATCTGCTGAAGCTGTATGATACAAAAAAAAAAAAAAAAGAAAAAAAAAAGAAATCCCTCTAGGTCTCTCTGTCTTCTTTTAGAAGCTCTTTAATCTTCTCCTTAATTTCACATTCTAGAATACCTAGTAGCAAGAGTTTTTCACATAGCACCAGTTGAGTACTGTGGGCACACAGTAGTAATTGCTGGTATGCACATAAAATGCACCAAATTTGCCGTTTGTCACAACGAGACCTTCCTCCCTCCCTGCAAATCAAACCAAGGCAAAGGATCTCACACAGCCCCTTAGTGTTCCAGATCTTAGTGTAACTTGCTGTAGTGAACTGCTTGGTCCCTCTCGGTCCCTCTACCTTTCCTTCTCCACAGGTTAGCTGTTTCCCAACTGGAAGAGGCAGTTTCTGTCAGCATATCAATGTGGTTCAATCTCACCCAAACAGGGGAAAATAATCTTTTTTTCCAGTAAGTCTTCAACATATGCGTGTTTATTAACATTTCAAAGCTCTCCTTTTTGACTTGGTGATCACAACCCTTCCCTCCCCTCCCGTCCCCTCCCGAATTATGTCAGTATACTCCGGGCCCGGGGAGCCCACAAGTCCACGCGGGGAGCGCCCTGCTCCTCACTTCTCGCCCGCTACGATTCCTTCTGTTTTCACAGCCACGGGAAGGGCGATGGCCGAGGGCTGGGTGCTAACGACCACAACGTGGGTCACAGTCTTGCCCCCCTCCTGTGGGGCGGCCTTCTCCTCCTTTGCGAGCTGCAGCGCCTTCACCTCGCGCTCCTGCTTCACGGCTGCCGTGTCTGATGGAGCCTCAGGGCTTTTGATAAGGGCGCTGATAACCCGGGGAGGAGTCTGGCCGGCCGCCTGCTGCGCGGGCACCGAGAGTCTCATCACGGGCGCCCCGTGGGCCAGCGACACGGGGGTCAGTGCTCTGACTGCCAGGGGCGCCCCCACGATGTTAATGCTCCCCGAGCCAGCCAGGCCCGTCTTGGCCTGCAGCTGGCACTGCGTGAGCTGCGTGGCGGGGATGGTGATGATTTTGGCAGGCTGCATGGTGATTTTGTCTCCGTTCTCGGCAGAGGATGGCATCACGGTAGGGATTGTCTGGATTACAACCTTGGGAGTTGTCGCCGTGCTCGGGCTGGTGTTGGTTAGCAATGGTGACCCTGTGGTCACCGACTGTACTGCCACCGTGGAAATTTTCTGTCCTAGAGAGGTCATTACGACAGGCACTTGCATTGCCACACGTACAGTCCTGCGGAGGAAGAAAGAGGTTTAAGTGCAAACACAATAAGGGCATAAAAATAAGCATAGGCAAATCTAGAATTTACAGAATTTTCACAGGCTGTTTTTTAAAAATTGCCTTTCTGTACACCTATGATTAGAGCTCAGTAGTTCAGCAGCATTCACCTCCCTCTCCCCTGCTTCTACATAATTTTAAAACATGCTCGAGGTCAAGCACATTGACAGACAGCTGGCTCTAGTCTCTGACCCTAGACTTCCACAGTGCTCTACCACGTTACCCTGCTGCCTGCGCGCCAATCAATAAAGACATTCGATTTTAAAGCATAAAAACAGAAACTAGAAGACAGCTTTCTAACAGAGAAAACGAGCAAGGCCAAGCTGCCATCAAACCAACCTGGGAGCTGTCGTTGCTGGGACAGTGGTAGTGGTGGTTGAGGGGCGAGACGATAACGATGATGATGATGATGAAGTATCGTGCACCGGTGAGGCAATGTTCACAACTCTGGCGACCGTCTTTTCTGTTCTGGGGCAGCTCAACTGAGAGGAATTTTTTCCTCCACGCGCAGAGGCTGCAGCTTTTAAAAGGTTTTCTGCAGATAACGACACTCTCTCCAATGACTTTTCGTCCGCAGGCATCGACAGATCTTCATTGCACGATTCGCTTTTGTCGTCATCGATGACAACTATGTTTTTCGGCATCTCCTTAAACTGATACACAAGCCTCTGTCCCTCAACTTTCGCAAGGATTCCTCTTTGATAGTAGTATCTGCAAGGAAAGCACAAGTAGTAGTTGACATAATGATAGCTTTTAAAGAACAAATCTCTCTATACTAACAAGAAAATCTGAACTAATCGCAGTGATATCTGCAATATGAGAAGTTGTGGGGGGAAAAAACACACAAAAGTTATCAGAGCCAAGTATTTCAAGGATCTAGCTGAAAAAAATCTGACCTTTTAAGACACACACTTGAAATTTTAAATAGCAGGTTAACTGCTATTTTAACATAGAAAACAACAGGAACTGCAAGACTCTGACGCTTCATAAGCAGCCACACCAGCAAGTATACAAAATTTAAAAAAAATACACAAAAAAACCTCAGAAATGTTATTAGATCCACAGTCAAAGCTAAAAATGAGAGTTAAAATAGAGGATTTATGTATTAATGGAGGTTACCTCAGGGCTCTTCCCATAGTCTCATAGTTCATGTCAGGTTTGTTTTTGTGTTTTCCCCATAGTTTGGAGACAGCTTTTGAGTCCACAAGCTTAAAGATGCCCTTCTCTCGCTGAGTCCATTTAATATATCGAGGACAAGTATTTTTGTCCTGGAGAAGGTCCAGAAGAAATTCCCATAAGTACGTTGTATTTCCTAGGAAGCAGAAAGCACTGAGATATTAGAAATCCACTTTTACTATCAGCAATCTCTCCATATACAGGTAACCCTGAAAGACCCCTACTAGAAGCGAAGGTTACACAGAGGATGGTACAAGCAAGCACTCATTCATGTAGTAAAAAACCCACAAATACTTATATTCCAGGAGAAGACAATCCAAGCATCTTGCTGTACGTATAGCAGAGCAGTCTCTTCGACCCAGTGCCCACTCTTGGTCCTTGCACCAAGTCGCTACAACCTGCAGCCTCTCAGCAGGGCCAGGAGCTTGGGAAGCTTTTTCGCGTGTGCTCTTACCAAGGGGCTGAAATAGCAGTGCATTTTATGTCTGGGAAGGGCAGGGGCTGTAGTGTTTCAATGCTACATGGTGCTTCAAGAACAAACCACCTCAAACTGGGACAAGGCTCCTGGCACTGTACCACAGCCTCAGGAGGTCACTTCACTTGACCAGGTTTTCAAAGCCCTTTGGATACCAATGGTTATATAATATTTTTTTTTTTTTTAAGTGCAAAAGATTGTTAATTCCAGAGATTTGGTGTCCCAATACAGCACTTGCTATGCCATGATGAAGATATAGTATATTTCCAATTAGAAATATATTACAACACATTAAAGACAACTTGCAGGCTCCAAGAAGTCGACTGCCCTTGAAAAGTCTCAAAAGAGAAAAGCTGGAGTTTCTGTCCTCCAAAAGACCCTCTTACAGAGACTGAAAAAATGTCCAGTAAACAGTAAGCACTAATCCAAAAGCTACCAAAAATCCAGCGTCCAATGGATTTTGGAGACATTTGAATTTAACCTATATAAAAGAATAGCCAAGCAGAGAACCAGGAATCTTGGAATCATCCTAGATAACTCAACTCCGTATCTTAGGGAAGGAAAGAATAATATTGACAAAATATACAGCTTTTTGAAAACATTTTTCTCATTTTGTTTCTCAAGTCAGAACGGCTCAACTTAACTGTTTGTTTCTTGCTAAGTGTTAGAACTCCTCATAACCGCGCATAACAAAAAGACCAGTAACTCTTCAGGTCATTAAGACATTTACCCTGGGGGAAACAAACAAACAGAAAGCCCTCATTTGCAGAGTATTCCTTGGAATGAATCCAGTGTTTTTTCCCCTAGCTCCTCAGAAGTGGAATTTCTGGATTCACTGCCAAATGTTGTAGGGTCTGCAGAAATAAAAGTAAACTTCAGCATCAGGAAGTGAAGAGGAACTTCAAGAGAAACCATTCTCTAACGTGCCTCCATTTTTCTGCAGGAACTGTGCTACCAGCTCAACAGTTTTTCCTTTTCCCCTGTAGTTTACACCAACCCAAAGAGCAGCTTTTTTCCCCACAGCAGGAGCATGGAGCAACCACACTGCTTGGAAACCACGTACGGCAGCAGAAGTGACGCTCAGTGACACTCCTGTTACACTGCTCTGCCAGCCACAGCTACATGCACTTAACAGAGAGCTCATTTTAGGAATTAACAGCCAAGTTTTGAACCACCTTAACACCCTCTCTTAAAACACAGACTAATTCAATGAATCTAAACATGCAGCCACACGAGGAAGGGAGAGACACGCTTATTAAACTTTTTTGTATGACCAGATTTACAAGTGTTCACGTAGATATAAGTGTGTATTTACTCTTCAGCATTAGGAAGCCCAGCCTGGAGCCATAAACACGCACTGCAGCTGGCAGGGGGGCAGCAGTCTTCTTCAGGCACAGGCAGTTGTCATCTCCTCCCTCAAAGGTCTCAGGCCACCTGATGCTGCACGGCTGGCACGGAGGAGCTAGGCAGGATCCCAACCCATCTACGCTCCAAGACAGAGTGGGCTCCGCACATGGGAATGTGTTTTTGGTTAGCTGATCACTACAGCTGCCAGCTATTTCAGAATGCCAGCGGCAGGCTCCAAATAGAAGGATTAAGGGCCGGGAAGTATGTGAGGGACGCAAGACGCCGCGTGCGGCAGCGATCTGTCCCGCTGGTAGTGACAGGAGAAGCCCCGCACCTTCGTGCTGGCGGCCTCCACTTCAGACACAGTATTCGAGCAAAGCAGGAAAACGTAACACAGAGAGAGCAGCCCAGCCCGAGCTGCTGTTCCTCTGCACTGGAGGCAATGGTAGTAACTCCATCCCACTTAATAGATCTTCAATTCCTCCTTGGTAAGGAGCTCAAAGGGCCAACTAAAGATTTACAGCTGCTTTGCTTTGCAGCAGAAAGCATCAGGGACAGCACCTGGGAAGGAATATCCACAGGACAAAGAGTAATCTCCTTCCCAGCACAAGCAGCATCCCTTTTCCCCAGGACTCAACTCCACTGACAGCACTGAGCTCTAGCAAGAATTTTTCTGTTTTCCAAAAGCAAAGCCACAGGTGAAGTAGCTCGTATTTGCAAGTTATTTTAAAATAACAAAATATGAAACTCAGTTATAAAACATTTTGCAGAACACTAAGTTAGCTTACATTAAGACAAACAACCTACTTAATGCCAAATGTAGTGCAGAATACATAACAGCATCTTACAAGGACAAAGGCATAAGCAAATCATTAAAATGGCCAGCAGAAGTTTCAAAAAAGAGTGACAGCCCTTACCCCAAAACAAACAGCTACAGAGAGAAATTGCCAATAGAGACAGAAACTCTACTAAAACGCAGGCCTCCTTTTTAAAAACTACGGTGCACCAAACTAGGAATGAGGACGCTTTTCAGGCACTCTTCCAATAGTGGGAAGCTTTAACTGTGCTACAAGCTAGAAAGAAGGTTAACAAGCCTTTAAGAATTCTGGAGGAGAAAAAAAAAAAAGAAAAAAAAAAGAGAAAAAAATCAAGCAAGATGGACCTAAACACATCAGATGCAAAGATCTAATCAGCATTACGATCCAAGCAACACTGGCCACCGCAGAGAAGTTTATAGCTTAAGAAAATGAATAAAAAAAATATCTAACATCTACATGACATCAGTCTCGTTCTTCCTTGGCCTACACACAAATATGAGGTCTCAGGAGCTATATCCACATAAGAAACCACGCAAACAGAAGCAGTCTTTCTTTCAAAGGAATTCCAAAACAGTCGTGTTGGGGCTGACAACTGCACACTCCCTCAACCCTCATGCTGCTCCTTAAAAGTCACTATAGCTCTTGTCTCTCCTAGATGCAGCAACATCACCAAGCAGCTTTCTGTGCAGCAGGAGGAAAAGAGATCCAGGGTGCTCGTCCACATGCACACGCACACACGTGCTGCACGGTACCCCGCTGAGAGCAGGCTCACGAGCACTGGGCTGTCCATGCCATAAGGATAGGGGCACGGACACCAGCAGGGCCTCACCATGCAGCAGAAGCAGCACTCGAGACGTAGGGCCCTCCTGCACAGCTTCCCTCGCTCGCCAACCAAAGCAGCATCTCGTCCTCTGTTTTGCCGCTTACGCCAAGCCGCATCTCTTGGTGAAGCGGCCTATTCCCACTGAAGGTTGTGAACGATCCAAGGGAACAGGTTTTCAGTCACCAAACACACTCATACGCTGCTTGTGCTCGACGAGCGGCAGCGTAAGGAACTAGGCATCGAGCCACCAGCCAACAGCAGAAGGCAACGAGCACAAGGCAAACGATGGAGAAGACGCAGGACGCGTCCCCAGGCTCACCAACCACGAGTGTGACACTGTGTCCTGGCAAGGTGGCAGCGCACAAGCCGTGCCACATCCTGCACAAGCAAGTTGGAGGGCTTGGAATAAAATTAACTCTGTGGCAAAGTCGGTACAAAGATCAGAAAAGAACTTAGCCACTAAACTTTCCATGTCCTGTGTTCTTCCAGTAACATATACAGTATAAATACACACAAGATCTGAAAAGACTCAAAAAAGAGAAAAATATACCTTTGCCTTCTCTGGGTTTCTTCTTTATACCTAGATCCGGAGACCCATCGGAAAGAGCTGATTGTTGGGTCTTTGGTTTACGGCCAGCTGCACATAAAAAGAAAACGGCAAAACCATTAAATACAGAACAAAAGCACTTTACACTTTCACTCCCCTGAAGGCAGAGGATCATACAGTCTTTCCTTTTCTCATTTGCTTGCTAAGGGTATGGATAAACTTCAGTTCCTACATTCCTGTTACTGCGTGTGCAATGCAGCTGTTCACCTGTGCTTACCGTACAGGCAGATTTCCCTCTGTTTCCGAGGAGTTCCTGCGGGGCGAGGCCGCGGGCGGGCACGGGGCGCCAGGCCGGCACAGGCACACACGCCTGGCACGCTGCGCAACGCGCTGCTCCTCCTGCCCGCTTCGCCGCCACTCTGGGTGCACGGCCCGAAGCACCCAGGCGTGCAGGAAACCCTCTCCCCGCGGCTCCTTCCTCCTCTTGCACGTGGGTGACCTCGAGGTGAAGAGGCTGGAAGAGCGTCACCCCGCAGAGGAGCAGACTGCAAAGAGGCCGCGCTCCCGCTGCCGGCTATGGGGAAACAACCACCAGCTCCGTCTCCTGCCTCTGGCACAAGAGCTCTGATCTTGCCTGATGAGCAACGCCCTTCATTAAATGCTAACTTCAGCAGTTGCTTATTACGGAGCCTGGAGTTACAGCTCCATAACGACACCCAACAACCTTCTATGCCTGAAAAAACAGCGTCTGGATTCTCTGCAATGGGAAAACGAAATCGCCTACAAAATATCCTCCGTGAAATGTCAGAACTTGCTGAGCAGAGCCCTGCAACACAACCTGCCCAGAAATGACCCCTCCAAGAGTGGAAAAACAAACAGGCAGTTTAATTAAGGGTGCAGCCACTAACATTTTTCCATCGCAGTGTTCTTGCCTAATGCCATTTGCAGTAGAGCCACAGTTGTCCAGGGATCCCAGTCTGCACAGCCATTTTATGTGCGTTTGTTTTAAATCTAACCCTAATGCATGTACGCTGTTTTGTCAGTACTGCATTTTGCTTTTCAAAATTACAAGCAAATATTCCATGTCTGCATGCTTGGATGTGCTAATAAAACACATTATGACAAAGTTATGTCAATTATATTAGTGTCTGTAAAAAAAGATCTGGTAAACCAGAGAAAAATGTCATTTGCTGCCAGCCTTTAACAGCAATGCTATTTGGCTGTTGAACACTTACACTTTCCTAAATAGTCTGTCCTTTCCAACACGCCAATCAGACAAAGATGACACCTCTCTTACTGGAAAGATACTCTATTTATTTTGCAAACCAATTTATGGGTTTGAAGGTTAACATTTAGGCAGACCAATTATCAACTGCAGTAAGGAAATGGTGTGGCAGCTCACAGTGAATATTCGCTGCCCAAAAGCTTCAGTGAGAGCAGAGTAACTGCAAGAGTCTCACACTGAGACAGCATCACTGGCTCTTCAGTTATAACTAAAGAAAAACACTCTGTGATAAACACCAATCCAATACTGCTGAATTATCCTCTCATATATCTATGTATATCTATATATTATTAATATAATAGTAGTAATAATAATAGTAATAATAATAGTAATAATAATAGTAATAATAATAGTAATAATAATAGTAATAATAATAGTAATAATAATAGTAATAATAATAGTAATAATAATAGTAATAATAATAGTAATAATAATAGTATCCCTGCTGACACTGAAGCCCTTCCTCGAGGATGTTTGTCAGCCGGGGCATCAGGAGACTTTGGAAGTCTTCAGAATGCTGTAAGAACATCCCAGGATGCCCCTAGGCAAACCCAGGGACTTCAAGTACTTTCAAACTCCCTACCTAAAAATACCAAAAAACAGTGCGGACACCACAGCTTGCTCAGTTACTTCACAGGAGGCAAGAGGAAAGAAGGGGGAGAGGGGAGATGGGGCTGCAGGTTGAAAAACCTGCAAGAGAGAAGGCAGAGCGCCTCCTGGAGCAGGGCCCGCCAGGCAGGCAGGCCGGGCCCTGCGGCCGCCTCGTGGTGACCTGCGTGCCCCGGCCCCTCGCGAGCCGGCCCGCGAGCCCGCCAGGGCCACGCGCCCTCCCACTGCATCTGCCACTTGCTGGCGGATGTGAAACGGCATTATTGTGGCACGGGCGGGATTCACCATAGAGCTAGAATCGTAGACCGGCTGTCCCAAAGGGGCTTTCCTCCTGAGGGCTGCGGCAGTAACAACGTTCTGCCACACGGACCCACTGCAGAAACTGTTAGTTAACAAAGCCGGTATGGAGCAGCCAGCACAAGCTGGCTGCAGCGCCTCAGAAAAGGACATAAGCCAAGAACTTCATCCCAAAGAGGCCTGGTGTTCCGTGCTACAGCTCCCGTGTCCCATCACAAATCCCACCCCGTGAAGCACCTCCTGGTTATACACACACTGCAGCCCCTACCCCAACGTAACCCCTTCTGATGTTCTCAGCAGATACTGTTTCTACTCACAGGGCGGCCTAGACTTCTGGCATGTGCAATACTTGCTACTGAATGTGGGACATGAGATGATTCTGGAGTACCGTCAATACATATAGCCCAAATATCCAAACAACATCCAAAAGCAGGATGAAATCCTGACTTTCCCTCAAAAGAAAACAAAACTCTGAGATCACCCCCTCTCCACACACATTCATATTTCAGGGAACAAATATTTATTTACTCACAAATGTCCACCTGGAATCCTCCTTTACCTTCCCTCCACTCCCTAAATCTTGCTTAAGGAAACAAGAAAAAGCCTTTTTCCTTTAATGTTTTGTGAGCTACAGCCCCCCCATCATCATCCTCTCTTTTTCTGTTGCACACTCATTGCCCTAGAACTCACATTTCTGCACTCGCTTATTTGAATTATTATAGGAGAAGGAAAATCAGGTAGTCTAACCTATCTCCAACAGTATCAAGCACAGCATTCCCAGCAGGGCACATCAGAAATAGCTTTTTACATGGCTGCTCCAAAGAGGCATCCGTACCTTTTTTCTTTTTCATTGGCTCATGGATATCAGGGGATGTTGGAACAGGAGATGCATCCATCGGTTCCGACTCCTCCGTAGAAACCTCCACCACAGTCTCTGTGATCACATCAGGTCTCATGGCAGCATGGATAAATTCTGGGTTTGACACACAAGGAGGGACAAAAACTTCCACTATGTTGGGGAAGGTTGGGAAGGGAGAGAAGAGAGAGAAGAGTATATGAAGAGGATTCCACCTATTTTATCACACTTGTATAAAATTATTTTGAATAAAATGTTAACTAGAATAGCAATACTCAGTACTAGATCTTGGAAAATGCAAGGTAATTAATTTTAATTTTTTCTAAACTGATAATACTTGGCGGATAATATTTAAACATTCTCTCTAAAAATAACTTAAAAAGATAAGAAATATGTTTTCCCTTAAAATAACTGCTTGTTTTGGCAACGTGTACAATACTGAGTCCATTTCAAATGTATAATTGTTCAAGTACCTACACTCAACAACCTGTCTCAGAGAGCAGCAATCACTTGGAGTATGTTAACCGTGTGATAAAGAAATCACATAAAATTCCCTTTTTTATGTTTTTAAAATTCCGTACATGGTAAGGAAATCACACAAAATCCCAACAACACAGCACTGTTGGAAGAAGCAAGCCAATGCTTTAAATCACAGGCAGCTCCACAGACAGGCAGCTTTCCCAGGCACTCGTGGTAAAAGCCGGCGCAGGGAGAGGCCGCTCAGGGCGCGGGGCCTGTGCAGGACGTACCGGGACTGCGGGCATCCCTCAGGCAGGTCGGAGACTCCATGTGCAGCAGGGCCTCCGCCGCTTCGATGGTCTTGTCCACGTAGTGCACATTGCTGCCGTGGACCGAGGCTTCCACTGCACAGAGGTAAGGCAGCACAGAATGAGAGCTGGTTCTTCACGCTGCAAAGTCCACAACAGCACTAGCCCGCCTAAGACAACAAGCCCCGAAATGACTGGCGTCTCGAGCCCCTTATTGCTTCCTGTTGCCAGGAACGGTTAGGACAGGCGGGACACAGGTTGAGCCAACACGACCACCTCTCAGACTAGATTTCTGTTTTGCAACCAAGCTCCCCATTTCTGTCAGGTCATCAGGAGCTAATGGAAGCGTAACTTGGGTTGGCCTTCAAAGTAACTAGAACAAACCAGATTAAAATGAAGCTAGCTAAAAATTAACAGCACTGGTGAGAAGTAGTCCCATCTCCAAGCAATGCCCCATTCCAATCTGAATGTCACCTTCTCTTCACGTTTTAGGTCTATTTGGATAGAAAAACCTAAACACAAGATTAGTTTGCAAAACAGATAAATCCAGTTTAATTTCTCGACATTAAATAAATCTGCAGGCTGGACAGTTTAGCAGGCTCGTCTGCTAAAAACAAAACACAAAGCATACACCCATACACCACACTATACAGAGGGCTTTTAAGCAACAGGTGAGGAAAGAAGAAAAAAATCCTTTAAGCTCCACAAGCTCAAGATCCCCGAGTTACCAGGGATCAAAACTCCCTGCAGGCCACCTCGAGCAAGCAAGGCCCGCGCTGCGCCGGCGGGAGCGCCCGCGGGGCTGGCGGCGGCTCGGGCGCCGCGGGCAGCACCTGGCGCCGGGCGCTCGCCGCCGTGCCCGGCTCCCGCCTGCCCATTTATGGCCGCGAGCTGCGGGGCGCAGCGCCCGGCAGGGCGGCAGCGCCGCTATCTTTAGCGTCCGCGGGGTCACCTACGCGCAGCGGCGGGCAGGGCTCGGCGCAGCGCCCCACGGGAGCCGCCACGCACTGCGAGCCGCGCACTGCAACCCGCTGCAAAGGCGGGGAAAACACCAGCAGCGTGAGCTGTGGCACGAGAGGACGCAAGACAAATGCACGCCTGCCTGCGTATTTCAGTGTAACACTGCTGACAAACAAGCATTGAAAACCTGGCAGCGAGTAAACTAAGCACACAGACGTGCAGCCGCAGGCATGCAGGACGAGGGTGGCCCAAAGGCAGAGCCCAAGCGAGGGCAGTGCCTGCAGAAAGCGCCCAGCCCCACGGGCCCTGGCGCCAGCGCTGGGGGGCTGCACCTCCCCAGGCGTCCACACCACCCTGGCTGCCCACAGCGGCCGGGCACCCTGCCTCGCAGCAAGCCCTCCACCCAAGCCGCTCTTTCCCAAGAGGAGCTCTGGGAGCTGCCCACAAAGCGCCCCCTCTTCCAGCCAGCACCCACTGCCTGCCCCCCACCACGGGAGCATGCGAGCGACAGGCAGCAGCGCGTCATAAATATGTCACTCCTGCCTCAACGCTGGAATCTGACATCCCCTGTCAGTGCCAAGCGCCCTACGGAACCGCGGAATAAAGACACCCTGAGGCGTTTGAAGATTTGAGAAGAAGCAGTAACACTTCTGCTTTGGCTGGAACCAAACACATGCTGCCTGCCTGGCATGTCAGCTAACCAACCCATGCTGCCCACAAGACCTGCACTGAATACGTACTAAAACGCATCTTGTCAGGTTTGAAGTCTTTCCACCCCGCTGTGTCCTCGCCGCAGCCCCGCAAAGTTGTGGGCCAAGAAGCACCGGAGCCTTCAGCGAGCCGCTCGCATGGCCAGTTCCAGCCTAAACGGCCCGCTCGGGCACCGCACTCTGGCCAGCACAGCAACAAGCTCTCAGCTCTGCTGCCTAACGCTAGTGCCCCCACCGACTTGCAAAAGTGAAGTGTACGTTCACGTCTCACTACAAACTCTCACCTAAATGACATTTTGCCACCCTAAAATACATCTAGGTAAGGGAGCACAGCACGTCAAAGTGTTCATTCTCCACAGCGGTGGAGAAAACGGAGTGAGGAGGAGATCCCAAAGAGGACAAGGGAGAACAGGCCAGAAGTGTCCTCTGCAGCAGGGCATGGACAAGCAAAACCCAGTGGCCTGTTCTTGCAGGTGGCTATAGATATAGAAGTAGCATCATCAGACAAAGAAGTAACAGTGATTAAACTACACTCGTATCATGGCACTCTGTGGTGCTTCTCTAGATAATGAGAGCAGAAGATGGCAAACCAGGTGAGCAGGGATCCTGGATTAAGAAGGAAAAAAAAGGTCTATTTCAACAATCTGATTCTCTAGCATTTCTTTAAAACAGTTTTAAACTGTTACACTTTCTGCATTGTGCAGAAAATTAAGGATCTTCTTATTAAAAAGCCCACCTCCATTGGAAAAGCAGACAATCATAATTTCCTAGAGAACGGACTAGGCAAGCTGACGTCTCTCCTCGGTGCTGACTTCACGGCTTCCAGCGCCGCTTCCCTCCTTCTGCACAAGCACTGTGTACAGTAGATTATTCAAGGCTCTCAACAGCTGTTACAAAGCACCAAACTTGGTAATTAGGCCTGACAGGGCTGTACTGCAGCGTTTCTGAGCAGAATACTGGCAATGCATCAATTCTGTAACAACATTCCCAGTTTTGACATGAAAGAAGAGTAACAAAATGAACTAAAGCAAGTCACGAGAGAGGGGCGAAACCAGACCGAAACGCTTGGCGTTGCTTTCCAGAGCCGCAGCGCAGCGCCTGCCTTTATCTGAAGGGCTATCACGGCCTGTGCTTACAAGGTCAGCACTTAAGTGCAGCACCTGATTTACCCCAGCTTATCCTTTAATGCTGTCGGGCAGCCGGAGCACTGCTGTGGGGAGGAATCCGGCCAGCGAAACGACAGGCTGTCTCGGGGCTCGCGAGGTCGCTTCACCTCAGCACTTGCGGACCACATAAACAGCAACACGAAGCTGCATCAGCACCAGGGCCGTACTTAGCTGCCTCTGCATGTCATGCCCAGGACCTTTCAATACACCCCATGTCACTGGAAAGCGGGATATTTTTAGTCAATTCATCGACTTATGGCAGGCATTTGGCTCTGCAGCTGCAGGGAGATTCCTTGGCTTGGGGAATAACTTGGAACTCCCTCACGAGGCGCCTTTGCTAACTCCAAAGATTTTCAGCCGAAGGGAACGTGAGGAAGAGAAGCAATTTGCCACAGTCAGCAACCAGCAATGAAGACAAGAGCAGTCATCTGAAAACACCCGCTCCCCAGTGCGCCATGCAGCATCAGGCCAGGACTGAGTTTTGGGGCGGGGGGGAGTTCTTTAAGCCTGCTCCAAGTGCTGCTCTGAGGGCCCGGAACTGGGACACCCCTACACAGGAGCAACTTGCTTCAGCTTTCTTCCCGCAGCTGTCAAAGACTGAAGTTTTCCCAACACTGAGGACCGAAGATATGGGAAGAAACAAGACATATTTAGCATAATTCCTCAGGATAAAGAAATCCTCTCTCGAGCGAACACAATGCCATCTATGCACGTTCCTACATACACAGGCAAGCGGATATGGTGCTCCGGTCACACAATGTTGAGAGCACTCTACGTATGCAGGCGTTCCCACACCAAGCTGCAGCAGCAGCAGCAGAAGTGCGTTGACTGGGGCTATCAGAGAAAGCCCTGTGCAGGTCAGGTCCCATTTGTCTAAGGGCAGGCACAGACAAGCGACACAGGCAGAGCAACCTGAGGTAGGGAATAGGCCCGAGCGGCTGCTGGGAGGGTGTCCCCGCATCACACATGTGGCGGGGGCCGGTGAGCGGAGCCTGCAGCGCTGGCACCCATGGGAGCAGACCCCTCCATGAGACGGTGGCGCCCAAGGGAGCAGACCCCTCCACAGGATGTCTTGACAGTGAGGACCCAGGCCCGCCCGCCAAGCTCGGCCCTCTCCTCTACGGCTCCCAGGAGGCTGCGCTGGGGCAGGGCTGGGTCTCTTCTCCAGAGTAACTCCCGACAGGACAGGAGGAAACGGCCTCACGCTGCGCCAGGGGAGGTCCAGGTTGGCCACTAGGAAGACTCTCTCCGCGGAAAGAGGGCAGGCATTGGAAGCGGGTGCCGGGGCCGCGGTGCGGGCCTGTCCCCGGCAGCCTTCAGGAGCCGCGCAGAGGAGGCGCTGGGGAGGCCGGGTGCGGCGGGTTCCCGCGGACGCGGTGACGGCCGACGCCTTGGCGGACCGCGAGGGCCCCGGGGCTGCCGCGGCGCTCGGGCCGCCCGCGGCGCGGCGCGCCCCCGCCCCACGTGGGGGCGCGCCCCCGCCCGCGCAGCCGCGCCCCCACGTGGGGCGCCGCGCCGCCGCTTCCGTGTTTACGCGCGCCCGCCCGCGCCCCGCCGCGCGCCGCGCGCCCATTGGCCGCCGCGCGCCGCC